ATTTATTTAACAAAGTAAAATAAAATAAAGTAAAAAAAGAGGATATATATTTTCACCATTATTAAAATTTATTCAAGTGGTAATTAGAAGAAAAATATTTAGTTTAATGTGCGAAAAGCTCCGTCAAAAAACAGATTTTCTTTAGTTAGATTATTTCCCTCCTTTCTATTCCCTGTTTTTATTTTCACCTACACGGTAATAACATTTGATTATCTTCAAAGAGCAGAAATTTCATTTAGTTCCTTGCATCCAAAGTTGGTTAGAAGCCATAAAAACAAAGAATGTTTATCCGGGCACCTAATATATATGATAATGGAAATCTTACTTCGACATGTTTCATACACAAATACTTTCCTAATAAAGATTATAGCTTTTCCAAGGATTCTCGAGAATTTTCTGTTGGGAAATAAGTATCACTTTGCAATTTCTTTCTTCACATATATGGCAGTTTGTCGTTGTTCTTGTCATTTAACTCATACCAAGCAACGTTAGGCGAGGTGTTTATGCTCATAAATTTATTGATTAAAGAGCACTGATGCTCGCAGGAATATATCAGAAGCTTACTACAGTGTTCGTGTCGATTTTTGTCGTAACCTTAAGTGGAATACCGTGTTTTTAAAACTGCTTTCCTTACAAACAGTGAGCAAACTACTTTTCTTACCGTTGCTAAGATCTAATGTGTTGATATTAACTGTCAAGAGTTTGCACTAACTGGCAAGATGGTTCACTAGATTAAGATGCATTTGTTTTAATCTGTAATTTAATCTGGTGAAAATATGTAGTATATTTGTAGATATATCCAAAACAACAAATTCTTCAAAGGTAATCGGTAATCTGTTTTATATATTCATCAACAATCAGTTTCTATATTCAGGGAAAAAAAGTACAAAAGCAACAGTCTCGTAAATAATTTCCGATCATTAATAATTTTGTAGTTAGAAATGCTCAGCTACTTTTTCCGGTTATAAGGCAACATGTGACGAACAATTCGCTCTAGATAGATGTATACAGCAGGCTGCTCATGCGAGCGAGAAAACAAACTTTTGCCATCAATCTATTTCGACTATGATTAAAATTTACCATCCTGATACAAAATGACTGAAATTTGCCGTCTTGTTTTTTCACGAACTCGAGTTCAAATCCCCGTGAAAGCATGGACATTTGTAAGTGTATAATGTCCATGCGGAATGGTAGTACTCAAAATACAGACGAGTCAAAAGGCTTCTTGCGTGGTTCGTTGGTATGAGAAGACGGGTAAGAGATTCTCGTACCGTGTCCCGGAGTACCATTTATCAAAACTGACGTGAAGATGCGCAGTTAGAGTGCTGTGGTACTAAACCTGCTAAACCAATGGTGAAATTCTGCTGTCCAGTACTCTTATACTTGTGATTAAAGTTTCCCAAGTATAAGAAATGAATCTCTGAAGGATTTTAATGACGAAAAACAGAAGGCCTAGTTAAAAATATGTTTTATTGAGAATATTTACTTTTAAATAAGAATACAGTAATAAAAGACGCAAAGTAACACACCTTCTCTAACTTTAGTTAATACACAAAGTTTGCGCAAATGTCTCGGTCGAAAGTTATTTGGCTCGTTTTATCCACGTGATTAAAAAGATACTTTTACAGTTGTTGCCCGAACCGTCAGTTTCAGTAGCCGGTAGAAATGCTGTATTTGGTTTACTTTCGAGTATGCAAGCGAAAGTAATTCTTCACACAGGTGTTAAGTACACATCCGTTTGCATCCTTTGTGTTTAACTGACATTTTGCGGAACAGTATCCACAATCCCTAGAAATGTAAATATGGGCTATATAGATTTTTGTTTTGCCTCCCAAAATGGCTCATCCTTTATACTTTTTACTGTTATTTATGAATATAGTACAACATAAAAATCGTTAATTAATTTCTGACTTCATGTAGGGGGGAAGGATAATCACAAAATACCAGGAAATATAGAGGACACAGCTTTTAATGCCAAAGATTTATATATTTTATTCTACATTTCTAAATTTTCTATTATCGGGAACGTTTATTTACAAAAATGCTTCATTGGGGGAACAGTTATGCTGTGATTCTTCGTTTTTTTTAGAAAGAAGAATGAATTCAATTATTTCAATGAAATAATAGTGAAGTTTCTAAAATTTTGAAAAATGATGTCTTTTATATTCATCGGAGAGCCGATTTAAACATTTTTTTCCACGGAAACATGAGAATATGTCTTCTTACATAAATTTAAGGATACTACATTCTGTCTTTTGTGCAATAAATTTTGGAAGAGAAATATGTTCTTAGTCCCAGTTTTACACAACTTCGAATGATGCATACTAGCATTAAAGCTATTTTGCTACGTGGTTGAAAATTTCCAAATTATTTTTCGAAAGATTTATATATTAATAACGTATTATTTTCAGTTCCACTGTCCGCAAACAAAAAGTATTTATCAATTAATCTATGACTTTAAAGTAATTTCTTAAACTATGTTTAACACTAGAACTTCAATTACCTCTGACATTTCAATTTCAAACTGTCTGGTTAGCTTATTGTTCTTTCATGCTAAATAAAATTAAACTGGCTATTCATTTAGGTGTGTAATTAATGTGTTACTTTTTATTTCTGCATCTCCAATGTCATTTTCCTTATAAATAATATGAATAAGAGTAAGTTTTGATATCCATGTTTTCACAAAGGCAACCTTCCTCTTAGGCAAGTAGCCCTCATGCACTTATCCATAAGCAATTTGTCAGATCCAACCACTTATACTTTCAGTGTAATGGAAGCCACCAGCGTAATGGAAATAATGGTAGCCACCAGCGTAATGGAAATTAGGTTGAGATTAAAGGCAGACTGCAGCAGACACATAAAATATAAGAGTTTAGCTTTACATGAGGATATCGACACCTAGTTATTACTGACAACATGCGAATTCATTGTCTAAAATTATTGAAAATAATGAGATTCTTTTACATTGCTTTAAAAGAAAAGATCTGATGGGTATACCACATGGCTTCCTTGTATGGATTATTAATAGATTCTGCGTATAATTTAATATTCCATACATATACATTATGTATGGAATATTAAATTATACACAGAATCTATTAATAATTTAATATTCCGTACATATAATTGTGCGGAATATTAAATTATACGCAGTTTTTCTTTCATTTCATTTAAACATTTTGGATTGAATTAAATCTACTTCGTCAATAGTGCATAAACCACAACAGAATAAATGCACTCTTTAAAATATTTGTTTATAATATTTGCTTACCATAGCGACACTCTGGCGCGAGTGTCATTTAACAGCTTTAATTCTCATTCCTTTTATAACTTAGGTCATACTCATATAAGTGATGTACAGGTCTTTACCTCTCTATTTTGTCCTTTTGGAATCCTGAATGAAAAACATCAAAGTCCAGAAAAGTTGGAATACCTGTACACAGCCATGTTGCATCTCCAATGTTGCGTTGGATCTAATTTTTTTTGCAGTATAGCAATTATCAGCAATATATTGGCATATCGCTTAAGAAGCTGCCAGTCAAAATCATCTTCATTCTCACCAAGATCTGTAACATCATCTTGGAATGGCAATACTTTCCTGATTGTTGGAAAAAGGCTAAAATAGTCCCTATACTGAAGCCTAAAAAACCACCAAACAAACCAGAATCATACAGGTCTATAAGCTTGCTTTCATCCATCAGCAAAGTGTTCGAAGCAGTCCTGCTCAAAAGAATCAACGCACACCTGGAGGACAACAACATTCTGATTCCCCATCAGTTCGGCTTCAGAAAGAAACTCTCCACGGCAAATCAGCTCTACAGGGTTGTTGAGACCATCGCTGAAGGAATGGCTAACAAGAGGATCACTGGTGGAATTTTTCTTGATATAGCAAAGGCTTTTGATAGAGTCTGGTTGGAAGCACTCACATACAAGTTACATGTTCTGGGTTTCCCAGAATACATCATTAACATCACCAATTCCTACCTAACAGGTAGATACTTTGTCGTTCATGTAGCAGGCACAAACTCAACTTTCCACGTAGGGCCATCCATGCAGGGGTCCCCTCAGGGGTCCTTGCTTGGACCTACATATTTTCAACATTTACGTGAACGACATTCCCACCACACATGACACAACATTAGCTATGTATGCGGACGACACTGCGATCCTGGCACAAAGTGCATTTATTGGTCCAGCAATACAACGACTACAGAATCACATCCATGCACTAGAGACCTGGCTCACCCAGTGGAAGACTGCAGTTAATGTCGACAAAACCAAGGCCCTCCTGTTCACTAGGAAAACCAAGATCAAGAAAAATATCCAGTTCTTTGGTACCACCATTCCCTGGGCCAAGCAAGTCCTATATCTTGGGGTGATCCTCAACAATACTCTCACATGGTCCCCACACATCACTTCTATTATCCAAAGGTTCCGGGTTCGTAAAGCGCAACTCAACCCCTTAATTGCTCGGAACAGTGTGTTATCTATAGACAACAAGTTACTTATTTACAAGTCCATTCTCAGACCATTACTCTGTTATGCCAGCCCTATCTGGGCCCACACACGCAAAACTAACAGAGGCAGGCTGCAGGCTTGTCAGAATATTGTTCTAAGGCAAATTACCAACGCAGAATTGTATATCAGGAATAATAGAATACATGAAGAGCTGGGCATGATGCAGCTCAGATCATTCTACTACAGGCTGGCCAAAAGATTTCACAGCAGGCAGCAAATTATTGACAATCCCTGCATCAAAATCTGTGAATATGATTATAACGATCTTGCGAATATTGATCGTCCCCTTGCTCAGCTCAATGTGTACATTATGTAATTTATTCCTGCTTTGTGTATACTCTTTCTCATCTTTTACCTGCCTCTGATGTCATGTATGTTCTTATTTTTATTATCTTCTAATGTATCATTAATTATTGCTCATATATTTTTTGAATCATGTATCATGTACTTAATGGATCCAGACTATTGACTTACTCACTTACCATCTTATCATGTAACTTTGTAGTCACGGCTCGACAGCTTTCCTGGGCTTCCAATATAACAGCAATTTACCCTCTAAAGACCTAAAAATTTATATATATATATATTTAAAAAAAAATATTTTGGTAATTACTTATATGCTTATATTGAATGGTTAACTGTAAATATAATATTAAATGGAACCAGACATATTCTACAAGGGGTAAGGCCTCTGGCCTAGGCACCCTGGTGTTGCAAACACCGCTCTACTGGGTAATACTATATTGGCATATCTAGAAGCGCTACGGTAGTAGCGATCATCTGTTGTGAAGCCTCGGCGAAGTCCGGATATCGTAATGTTAAGCATGCAAAAGAAGTGGGCGGTGCTATGAAGCGACTGCTCGTTCTTTCCACCAATCGGAGAATAGCGTTTCTGAGTGCACATACGTAATACAAAATCAAAGTCTACACCCGCTTTCATGGGTGCAAAATCTCTATCCTGCTTTGGCAGAAGCCATTTTATAACTCAGAATGCACACAATTTATATAATCTGAAGAATTATCCAATCATTGTTCTAAAATATAATTAAAGTTAAAAAAATGTGTGGTCTTCATGAGTCATAAATTCAAAGATCGTTTCGTTTCAGGAGTCAAGGTTGGGAGAGCATTAGAATTTCAAATCAAAACTTCAAGATTTCTTAGAACATAGAAATAACATTTATTAACGATAAAAACTTATATTACTTCCGCCTATAGCGGCCATGAAACATAATCAAGCATCAAATAAATATGACATGCGTCATTCTTCATGTTCAAGCGTCAAGTGAATATTTTTCATCGGCGCGCATCAAGAGCGCCACCTATCTACCAAAAAAAAGACGGAACATACTCCGCCCCGATGAACATTGGTTCATTACAACATTATTATAAAGATCTTCAATTTTAGATTCAAACAAGTTTTCCAAAGTTCAACAGTATATCATATAAAATAAAAATGCATAATGACAAATTTAAATTGAATAACAACATTAAATTTAGCACAAAATTTTACAAATAAAACATACTTACAATCTCTAGAAGGAAAACAAAATAATGAAACTGCTAAATTACCATAATCCACAATTGTGGTCCATTCTCTGAATCTGAAACATAATTGAATTAATAATAATAATAAAGACACAAATTATGAATATACAATTAATGTTTTTTTTTTAGAGTCTTATTCACTCAATGGTAAGCGGGAAAGTTTATGTATAGGACGCTTCATTTCGCCCAATAAAGTTTTTAGTTTCACAACACGAACTTTTCCATCAGCACCAGGATATAGTTCAATTACTCGTCCAAGTCGCCACTTTAATGGAGGCAAATTTTCGTCCTTTATCAAGACTAAGTCATTGAGGGCTAAATTTGGTTTATCCCTCAACCATTTGGTACGCCCTTGTAATTGTGAAAGATAATCTCTAGACCAACGTTTCCAAAAGCTCTGGAAAATTTGCTGTGTCAATTTCCATCTTTCAGCAGGGGTTAGCTTATTATTTGTAAGATCAGGTTCAGGAATTGCTGTTAATGTAGTCCCAATTAGGAAATGTCCAGGTGTTAAAGGATTAAAATCTTCAGGGTCAGATGAGATGGAAACTATTGGCCTGGAATTCAAACACGCCTCGATTCTGTGTAATTAAGGTGTGAAATTCTTCGTATGTCAGAACCTGGGTCCCAATAGTCCGCTTTAAGTGAATCTTCATTTGTTTCACTCCAGCCTCCCAAAGGCCTCCAAAGTGAGGGGCAGCAGGAGGATTGAAGATCCATTGAATATTTTCACCGCTCAGGTAGTTTTGAAATGCTTCGTCAGAGGAAAGTGTAGCTATGTATCTTCTTAATTCTCGATCAGCCCCAACAAAGTTGGTTCCTCTATCGGAAAAGATTTTCTTGGGTTTTCCTCTGCGTGACACAAATCTTTTCAGAGATGCTAGGAATGCTTCAGTTGTTAGATCACTGACCACTTCTAGGTGAATGGCCTTTGTGGTGAAGCATATGTAAAGGCAAACGTAACATTTATATCTCGTTCCTCCTCTTCCTTTCCTAGCTTTAATTAAAAAGGGGCCTGCAAAATCTAGTCCTGTATTCGAGAATGTTCTATCCGGCAATACGCGAGAAGCAGGTAGGTCGCCCATTATCTGACTGGATGTGCTTGTTCGATTTTTAAAACATTTTATACATTTCCAAATTATTTTTCTTACAATTTCTCGGCCATTAACGATCCAATATTTCTGTCGCAGAGCAGATAATGTTAATGTGGCTCCTCCGTGAAGGTTCACTTCGTGAAAGTGTTTGACTATCAATTCAGTAACTTGGTGACTTTTGGGAAGAATGATTGGATACTTTGTGTTTTCTGAAAGATTCGAGTTACAGAGTCTACCACCGACTCTAAGGATTTCTTCTCTATCAAGAAAAGGATTTAATTTCAGGATTTTACTGCTGAGATTCAATTTCTTCCCTGCTTTCAAAAGTCTAATTTCTTCTCTAAATTCGGAATTTTGCATGATTTTAAAAATCAAATTGCTTGCCTTATCCAATTCTTGAACTGTTAAAAAAACCCTTGAGTTTTAAAGATGTAGGTTTAATATTGTGGCAGAATCTTAAAAACACCATGCAGTTACGCGTTTCAATTTTTTCCAGGATGAAAACCTGGATGTCAATTCAAATTCAGCCTCTTGGCTAATAACAGAACATACAGTAGTTTGACGCTGTTCTACCTGTACCTCTTCCACCATAGGCTCGATCAAAGGATCAAAAGAGATGATGAAGGTAAAATTTTCTCTTTTAACCACACTGGTCCATTGAACCAAAGTTTATTTTCCACTAGATCAGAAGCTCTTAATCCACGTGAAACTATGTCAGCCGGATTGTCATTTCCCTTACAGTATTTCCATTGCGAAGGTGATACAACATCTTGTATTTCACGTACACGATTAGCAACAAAGGGTTTCCATTTATCAGCGGTACCCCTGATCCAGTGAAGAACAATTTTAGAGTCACTAAAACAAAATACATTATCTTCTTGGATATTAAATAATTTCCTTAAATATTTAACTATTCTTGCGGCAATAATGGCTCCCATAAGTTCTAAACGAGGCAAGGTTAATTTTTTAAGTGGGGATACACGGCTCTTTGAAAGAACAAAAGACGTACAGCAAGAATCAGGATCACGAAAATATGCAACAGCTCCATATCCCTTGAGGCTGGCGTCACAAAAGACAAAAAGCTCTATTTTATCGAAATTTACACATTCATCATTTAATATGTATTTTCTAGGAATACACAAGTTGAGAATAACTTCAATTTCAAAGTACCAAGTTTTAAATTTTTCACTCAAATAACTGGGCAAAATTGTGTCCCAATCAATACCCAATTCCCATAACTCTTGTAATAAGAATTTTATTCTGATAACAAAGGGTGCAATGAAATCCAACTGGGTCATAAATTTTTGCCACAATCTGTAATACCTTTCGCTTTGTAACGTGTTTCCAGTCAACTGGTTGTAAAAGTTCTTGTACATCTAATTTCAATGTGTCCTCATCCAAATCCCAAATTATTCCCAGCACCTTTAACGTTTTCTTATCCAAATTATCTTCCTTATTAATTAAACCAATATCTTGCCAATGATTTTTTAAAGATACGGAATTTGATTCAAATTTTCTTAAGTTCATACCAGCGTCTTGAAGAATTTTAACTGCATCAGTTGATAATGAGAAAACTTCTTCAACGGAGTCTGCTCCATGGATAAGGTCATCAACATATAAGGACTTATTTAACATGTCAACAGCTTTGCTATATTTCTTTTCATAACCCTTAATATGATGTTTGATAGTGGCGGACAAAATAAACGGACTTGTTGTCATTCCAAACGGCACTCGGCACATTCGGAAAACCTTAAAGCCTAAACTATTGTCACTATTGTCGTAAGAATGATCAAACCACAAGAACCTTAAAAAATTTCTATCTTCACTATCAATTTGAATTTGGTGAAAAGCCTTCTCTATGTCTGCACAAAATGCAACTTTATGTACGCGAAATTTTAAAATTATATCCAACAAGTTAGGATTTAAATTAGGGCCTGATATCAAACATTCATTTAACGATTTAGCTCCTTCAGACTTAGAAGAGGCATCATAAACTATTCTTATTCTTGTTGTTACTTTTCCTTCACGTATAACGGGCCTATGAGGCATATAATAACAGTTAGGTTCATTTTCAACAAACTTACATTGTTCAACAATCCCCCTTTCAACTTGTTCTCTAATTATATTATCATATTCATTATATAGGAAATCATTTCCCTTTAATTTATGCTTTAAGTCCTAGAAATCGTTGTTTAGCAACGAAAAAATTATCAGCGAGTTGTGATTTATTGTCCTTCCAAAAGAGTTTTGTTTCGTACCTGCCGTTATTAAATTTTAAACTGTCGTTAAAATGCTTAATAGTATCCAAATCAGTTTCCGAAAATGTTTTGTTTTCATTTTCAATTCCTATCGAATCCAATTTCCAAAATGACTGCAAATCAAATGTGTTTCCTTCAACGGCAGATAAAAACAACGCATTAATTCGAGTATTATTATTTTTTACTTTACCCATCACTGTGTATCCAAATATGGTCGGTACTATAAACAAACCATCATTTATCATTGAATTACTTCCTGTTTGTATATACCAGAAATGCTCCGCGCCAAGCAGAATATTTATGTTCTCATTAACGGGACTTGTATCCGAAAGTTCCAAACCTTTTTTAGTCATAAATTCTTTAATGTTTTGACATGTTGATGGCGCCTGGAATTCTATTGATGATATTAATTCTATCCCTATAGCTTCTACAACAAGGCAGCGATCATCGTTTTTATTTTTTATTTTTAGACTATATACATCAAATTCTTGCGAGTTACCGCGCTGATTTCCAAACGAATAAATTGTTAGAAATTCTTTTCTAATGACTTGCAATTCTAAATCGCGCGCTAACTTGTGGGTGATGAAGTTTCGTTCACTACCTGAATCAATTAATAATCTTACGATTCTCGATTTATTTTTGCTTTGAGCAATAACAGAACATGTC